CACTCAGTCGATGTTGCCTCACCTAGAATCGCTCCAATAGATGAAGGTTCTCCACTTCGGAAACTTGATAACATTACTAAAGAGCCCCTCATTCCTCCTCCTCCTCCTCCTGAATTCATTATAGATGGAAACATGTAACAAGTCATCTCGGTTATCAACAAGCAACAAGATAAGGGCAAAAAGCCCATATCAGAATTCCAAACCTCCAAACCATTCACCAAAAAGTCTGAAGGTTGGTCCCAGGCTCAGATAAATGAAATTGTAAGAGAGCATCCTAATTCAAGCTATGAAAGACAACCCCAACCATATGTTAGGGCTTTCCCTACTCTACAGAGAAGGAATAATTCATGATCTAGATATTGTTCCTTTCATGTATTAAGACCTCCCAACCCACGATTCAGACCAACTTGATATTCCCAACTCTCCATACGGAAAGTTCTATATCAGGTTTGCCCCTCTCTACCCACAAGATGATCCTCAAGTGATCATCTGAACCGAAAGAGAACATTTGAAGACTTTCTAGTCCTTGAACACACGTCCCCAAAAAGACGTGTGGTCTCGGTAGAGAATTACCAAGATTTTTGGGTTCAGAAGGAAGGTTATGACGAAGTTTGACTTGGATTACCTCTTACATCGCTTTTATGTGTATTGGAACAAGACAACACAACTCACCATCATGGACACCGACTTTCCAACCATCAATCCTAATGACATCTTAACTATTGCTGCTTATTTCCGAATGCGTCAAGATAATCAGATGAGCATGGCTGCATATAGCTCTGCAATGAGTTACTTGAAGGATTATGTTGCTGAGTTTTGTAGATGCGACTTTAAATTGGCTCTCTTGTTCGGAACTGAAAAGTTCTTGGCAAAGACTGACTATAAACTGCCAGAAGCTGAAATCTTGGGAGAAGGGCCAATTGATGAATCAGTGTTGGGATATGTTTACCTTCAAAAGAAGACAAACAAGAAGGATTTCTTTCGAGTCCTTGACAAACATCTTGTCCCTTCCAAAGCTCTCCAAAAGTTCACCAAGAATGCAACTAGGTCAGATGCCCCTGAACATGTAAGTCCAAGTTTATAAGCCAACTCTAATGATATCTTGAAGTCCGAGATTGGTTGTTCAGAGCTCATGTGTTCATTCAAGAAAAACCCAACTAGCTGACTAGATTTCTTAGTTCACTTAGGGGGAGATTGTTGGAATCTGAAAGTGAACCTCTAGCAATCGCAAGTATTGAAGATCCGAAGTCAGTAAGTTCCGAAGTAGAGATGGAGTCCGAGGTGAAGACCATTCCGAAATGGAGCAAATATCCGAGATTAATAGTATGTTTATGCATTTATTATTTATTGTCTTTTATGTGATGTAACGTTTCATACGACTTAGTTTTTGTATCAGTTGGATAATCAGTTTTCAGAAGTTGTTTATTATCTAGTCCTAGGAATGAAATGCAGTTTGTACGATGTACCTTCTTTTCCTATATGAGGAGTGATTTTATTGACAAGAAATACACGGATTGTTCCTCTAATGATAGAAAATATTCCTCTTAACTCTCTTTCACTTTTCTCTCAAGTCAAAACTATTTACAACATTCTTCTTGTTCATTTATTGTCTTTACATTGATTATACTCATAGTTTCTTCATATAATACCTGTGTACTTTGTTGAATCTTTACTTCAAGTCTCGACTGGTTTTACCAGACTTGATTGGAACATCAATTAAGAGCATATATTGATCTTTAAGGTTAACTCAAGGTTTGAGTTTTCAAACATTGGCCTTGCGCATTGATTCTTGTACTCATAGTAGAGTAACACAACCATTCTTCCTAGTCCTTTAGACTCCTATATCTTCGAGTTGAGAATATAACGAGGCCAATGTGGTCATTCTTGGCATATACTCATGCATACTCTACACTTGACTCTCATACCATTCGTTCGAAATAAAAGGATTGATCCAGTAAGTGTGTATGCATGCTGCTGTGATTGTGGTTAATTTGGGCAAAACTAACTTGTGAGAAACATAGGAAAAAAATAAGGTCAATAACTACTATCTAAAAAACTGACTTTTTAGTTAATAAAACTGACATGAAAAATGCAAAACGATAGAGAGGAAAAAGCTAACTTTCCGTTGCTTCTATTATGCTGAAGATGACCTATTACACATTATATTTTATTGGCAAAGTAATCATATAAAATATGATTAACTGTATCATGAGTACAAAATGAATGAACTTTTATGAAGGAGTTGTAAATATGTTTCTCCCTTAAGAGTTGAAAGTCCCTTTGTAAAAATGGAGTAGTTTAAGACTAGGGTTTGGTCAAGACTAGGGTTTAGTTGGTGTGTATATTTTATTGGCAAAGTAATCATATAAAATATAGTTAACCGTATCATCAGGACAAAAATGAATGAACTTTTATGAAGGAGTTGGAAATGTGTTTATCATCAGTTCAAAATGAATGAACTGTTACGAAGGAGTTGGAAATGTGTTTCTCCCTTAACGCATTGTTCCCCAGTTTTTTTGTAAATTCATTAAAGGAAAGGGAAGAAAAATTTTGACCGAAAAAAGGGAGGGGAATGAAAACATTCATTATACTGTGTTCCCGAATTCGAAGGAAATGAAAAGAAGTGAGAGGAAAATTTTAAGTTTTTGTGTTCCCGAGTTAGGGGAAATGGAATTTTCCTTCCCCTCACTTTCTTCCCAAATCTGTCCAATTTAGGAGGAAAATTTAGAAGGAAAATATGACTCAAAAATCATTCCCCTCCATTCACTTTCCTTCCATTAATAAAACTCGGGAACACGATTTTCCTTCGACACCCCTCATTTTCCCTCCGTATCCTCCTATTTCCCTCCTTAAGTAGAACTCGGGAACAAGGTGTAAGAGTAGAAAGTCCCTTTGTAAAAATGGAGTAGTTTAAGACTAGGGTTTAGTTGGTGTGTGCTATAGACGTTTAAAAAAAATATCGGCTGCCATACTTTAAAAAAGGGTTTGACAGAAATAAAAGGTCATCATATTAGACCGGAGGATGTAGGAGGGAAGCTTCCCTCACTTTTTGTGGGCCATACTCTCCTTTTCTTTACTTTTATTTCCTTCACCTAAAAACCAAAGAGTGGGTGGGAAACCCTTCCTTTATTTTTTTTTAAATATATTTCATACATATATTATACTCATTTTGTAAGGAATTAAAAGGAATATATATTTGTTATATTTTTTTAGTAGGTATGTAATTTTAGAAATATTAAAGAAGATAAAAAAAAAAAAAAAAAAAAAAACCCGACCAAACTGAGGAGAGAGTGCGGCACCGCTCACCTAGGCGAGCCCCAAGGGAATAACTCTTTCTTCGCCGTCGTGATCGTTAAAGATCCCCTAGGGTTCCAAACACGTACAGCCTTTACCATCTTAAAGTACTACATCGGCCCACTCGACAACGTTTTTTCTTTATCCATCTATTTCTTTAATTGTTTCCACTGGTTCATGAATCCGAGTTTAGAAGTTTCTAAACAAGATCATTATATCCTGTTCTAAGAGCATTAATTATTCACGTATACTGCAATCAAATATGCCGATTGCCAGATTGGTAAATGGTAACTGCTACAGGGTCAATGAGGCTGTGCCAAATAACCATAAGAGGATGCACCCAAAATACACATAAGGGTCAATGTGGCTGAAAATTTGTCACAGGATGCCGATGAAGCTTGTGAAGAGGTAAACCAGAGTATGACAACGCTGTGGATTCCCTTTGGTCGATGAAAGGTAAGGTTGTGCTCTCTGGTTAATTAATCAAAGCAGTTCTTGCATATATATTATGGAAATTAATTATGTCTTTTACTAAAGATTAGGGGAAAATGCTAATTGCTAATATTGTTGTGCTATCTTGTCTGTGTGTCAAACTGGTTGTTGCTCTTTTTTTATGGAAATTATATATTCAGGTCAAGATTAGGGGCAACTGTGTCTTGTATTCCTTTATCTGATAAATGCTTATGTTGTTGTGCTCTCTATATAATCAAACCAGTTCATATTCTATTCATATTGTAAACATTCTGACAAAGTATATGTAGGTCACATTTTAACCCTATGTATAACATTTATGAGATGTTTGACATATGTGCTCAAACTTGAGGAGTGCCAAATATATCCGACAATTGTTATATTTTAGGTTGTTGTGTTTGCTATTTATCTCATAATTAGAGTTATGGTTATCACTTGTAAAATATACTAGGAGAATCTAATTGTTCAATAGCTTATGCCCCTAATCTTAATAGTGAAATAAAATAGATAGTCTTAATAGTGAAGTGGAAATTATACTTCACAATTAATATGAACGAAGTAAAACTGTTACACTAATATGATGTTATAAACTATCTTCATACATTACAATTAGTTTCATTCCATATCCATTTTCAATCAATATATTTGTGTATTTGGAAAACATTAATTGGTAATAATTTGAGTTTCACACACACCATTTTCGAATGTTTAGACCAAAAACATTAAAATCTTCAAACACAAGAGCTATTTGAATTTTGACATGGTTGTTGGTGAAAAATAGGTTAAAAGTATTCATAGAATTTGAGGATATGATTATATGAATATGATCCTTATCCATATTTGTAACAAGTAGCACATGTTTCAACATACATGCTTCAACTTGGAACATATATTGTGATTGGTGTACTCATTTATATTCTGTCTTTATCTTTATGATTATATCTTGTACATATAGAAGGAGCATCCAATTGTTCAATAGAGTTATGCCTTTGATTATACAATGTGAGTATGCAGCAAAAAAGGAAATATAACATCTTGTTTTTCACTTGATCTAACGGCTGAAATTCTTCGGAACGTTCTAGATACACAATCCAAATCCACCGTGGATTCGATTACCAATCCAACGGCTGGAAACAACTCTCATAACCCTAGGGTTGGATCCGTGAACCTAATTGGTTGCTATATATAAGACACTTTACCCTTTTCAGTCTTTTCACAGATGATCTATCAAGCAAATGGCGAAAGAAAGGCAGAAGTGGACCCCAGAGGAAGAAAAAGCTTTGTTTGATGGAGTTGGAAAACATGGGCAAGGGAAATGGAAAGTTATTCTTACAGATCCCCAATTTGCTTCTGCTTTAGCAAATCGATCAAACATAGATCTGAAGGTGTTTTCCCTTTTCATCATTTTGTTTTTGTATATTGATCTAGATTTTTCGCTAGCTTTGTGTTTATCTTTCATCATAGTTATAATTTAGTTGAAATTTCATGCTTAGTTTTCCACTTGATACGAATCGATAATCGATTCTATTACCATTTACATCTGCAGGACAAATGGCGCAACGTTAGTGTTAACAGAGACAAAGTTAGAACTCCATTGTTAGAAGGAATTACTACAAATCCACCCATGAATTATCCCAAACCTTTATCTGTTGTTCATCTCCTTGACTATGGTGGCATGTCTGTGCCTTCCAGCAGCACCATGGATGAAAAACCACCCCCAATGTATGTTTTCTTCATGCTTCTTCTTTCCCTTTGGTTTCTCTCTTTTCCAAATTATACCTTTATGAGAACCTCTAGTCATATGGTAAGAGAGGTTGTTTTAAAAGTAATGTAGATGAAAACCTTATAATAATCAACTTTATTTTGCTACTTTTTTTTTTATTTAGTTACGAAAAGTTGATTCTCGAGGCTCTGTCATCCATTGGAGATCCAAATGGATCTAACACCAATGCAATTCTTAGCTTCATTGAGGTTAGATTATACATATATATATATATATATATATATATATATATATATATATATTTAGTTTGTATTAGATATTTAGAATCTTAGATTAAACTTTATGTAGAATCTCACGATTTCCAATAAACTTTATGCAGAAAAATTTCCCAATGCCTGAAAATTTCGAAACATCAGTGACTTCAATGCTCAGAAGACTTGTGTTAACAGGAAAACTTGAAATGGTGAGAAAATCTTGTACAAGTTTTGGTCTTATTAATTATTCCATTTCACAATCGCTATAAAACTGAAGTTTAAAGTTTAAACACACAGGTGGATAACAACTTCAGGTATAAGGGTGCATCTTCTGGAGCTAAAACATTCAAAAGGGATGATGGTAAGAATGATAAAGTTGATGATAAGAAAGAGGAGGCACCAGATGCTCCTGATTCACCTATTGCTACCGAGACTTTAGAAGATGCTGCATTTTATGCTGCACGTCTTATTGCTCGTGCTGAAAACTTGGAGCACCGGGCAACTGAAGCGTGTCAAAAGTCAAATAGGATTGCAATGATGGTAGAAGAAAGCATGGCAATGCTACAGCTGGCTGAAGAGCTTAATCAGATATGTAAGTTATCTTACATTACCTTTATTATTAACTCAAGTTTTTTTTTAGTTGAAATATGACATGTTGATATTTATTTGATGGATCACACAGACAGGAAACATGGATTTGCTCTGGTGGCTCTTTGAATGTTGGGTTGTTTGGGTTGTGTGATTCAATGCTAGAGAAGGTTTTAGGTTGTTGGGTTTGGAGGGTGTGTGTGTGTGTGTGTGTGGAGTATTTGGTTTTATGTTTGTGGTCATGTTGTGGAGTGTTGTTTTAATTTTCATAGGTGGATGTGTTATGCTTATTAGCTTTGTTATGCATGATGTAATCTTTTGCTGGATTTTCTCTAGTTGAATGGTGTGAAAATTGGTGTTTTTATGTGTGCAAATGTCTAGTTTTACTAACCAAACATACAAATAATACCAATAACTGTTGAGTTTTGGACTTCATTATCTGCCCTTTGTGAACATCTTACAAGGATAGCTTTATCAATTCAAATAACTTTGTGAATAGGGCATGTAGTCGAGCTTTATTTAATTTGGAAAACGTTCATTGGTAATTGTTTGAGTAAGTTCAAGTGTTAACATGAAAGATGTATCTCTAAGTTCGGGACAAATTATCTTTTGAATTTTTAGACAAAGAACAATCAAAATTCTCAAAACAGTTGGAGCTATTCACATGGTTGTTAGGTGAAATTGGTAAAACTAGTCTCTGAATTTGAGGATATGATGTTTATCTATAACCATATTAGGAAGTTGTGATTTTTATCTTATAAGTTTCATGCTTTTGGGGTACTCATATGGTTTATGTTGATTGCCATTTGCTTCTTTAAACCTCACTGAAGGTGGTAATGTGTGTAGCAGCAGAGAGAAGGTTAATACCCTGAAACTTTATTTGATGTTCCTCTCCTTGAATATGGTGGTAGGGCTAAGCCTTCCAGAGACTCAGTTATTTAGAATAACAATCCTAAAGTATGTTTCTTTCTTTGTGTTTCAATTAGTTGCAAGAACTAGTTGAGATAAATATACTCTAGAGTCTAGATGCTTGCTCTGTCTCTATAATGTTACTGGTATTGGTTAAACAAGTCATATGACTTCAAATTTTACTTAATGTTGATGGGTTGTTTCAGTTAAGAGGTTAGTAGTTTAAGAAAATAAGAGCTAATGGAAGGTTAGTAGACTACAAAAAAACTAAACAAAGTAGTTCGAACAATTAGGGTCATTCAACATGCTACCACCCCTACTAAAATTTTCTGCATCCGCCATTGCTCATCTCTCTTTCATTTTTTTTTGATCCAAAACATATGGAAATCCATCTTTCTCAACCCACTCAAATTTTAATTTTAAAATAAACACAAACTAATAAAAATCATACAAAAGTAATTTACAAAAACATATAAAATTATTCACAAACTAATTTAAAAATATACAAAGTTATTTTAGTACAAGTCTTAAAACAAAAGATACAAATGGTCATTGCATGAGAGTAAATGATTGAGCGGGTTAGATAAATTGCAAACCACCCATTTTGGCCAACCCATTGAAGCCCGTTCTTGAAGGGATCAAATGATGGAGGTACTAGTGGTACCTCCTTCTCCAAAACCAACGATACCCTCCTCCCTTAGAGATTGTAATGGGAAAACTCTTTATATCTGTTTGCATGTTCAGTTGCAATAATGTACAGTTTTCTACAACAAGGTAAAGATTTGAACATAAAACACCATTTTTATAAACCATAATCGAACCATTATCATTATCAAATGAATATCGAAAACCTTGTCTGAACAATGCATGAAATGAAATAATGCTTCTTGTCATTTCTAACGAATAACAACAGTTAATCAAATCGACTCTAACCCCCAATCTTGGCAAGTGGCCTGCTTTGGATCACTAACAAAAAGGAACATTAAAGTTGGGATTTGTCTTTAACCCACTGCCAGACGCTCCATCATGGGAATTACCCTTCCAGTTTGATTGGGAGGAAGCCTTCCTTTTCTTCTCTATGTTCTACCCAATGGTCAAGACATGAGCACTTTTCGCAGAACGTACATGATTTTTCTTCAACCCTGATTTAGTAGTCTGCAACAAGTTGTGGAATTGGGTCAATGTCATCTCCGTGTTGTTCAATTGATAAGTTAGAATGAATTGATGATAAATAGGAGGGAAATATTTAAGGACCATATCAATGGCCAACTCTTGGTCAAACGACATGTTGAGCTTTTCCAACCGCTCCACCTATCTCTGCATCCTTTGCACGTGAGTGCAAACAGTCTCCTTCCTACAACTTGCATGCCATGAGAGACTTGACCACTTTATAACGTTCTTGTATCGCTTCATTGTGAAACTTTTCAGCAAGATCAAGGCTCATTTCATATGGCTAGTATTCCTCGTAGATCTTCTGGAGTTATGGCGCTATGGTAGCAACCATGATGCAAGAGAATTTAGTGGAGTCGTCATGATGTTTGTTATAGAAAGCGATTTCATCAGGAGTAGTAGTTGTTTCTTCGATTTCAACAAGAGGATTCTCGAGAACATACTCTTTGTTCCCGTTTCCCAGAGTCATTTTCATATTACTCATCCAATGTGTGTAGTTTGGACCAGTTAATTTATATTTTGACAGAATCGACAAGAGAGTGAAGTTGAAGTTTTGAGTGGAGGTTTAAGCAACACGAGCATCATTGTTTCCATACATCTATAATAAGAGTGATAGTTTTAGTTAGTTGATATGAATCCTTAATATTTTAACCCAATTTAACATTCAAGGCTAGGATCCAAAATACAATTTGAAATTAAGAAGAGGGATGTTGTAATCTAATTACGAATTTATTAAGTTAGGTGAACGATTCACTAATTTCAGTCACATGAAACTCCTAGATCTTTTGAGATATTCATTGAAACATCAATGCCATGTTTAATCTTGGATTATGCTTTTCAATTTTGTGACTTGGATACCGAGAATCACAAACAAGATGTGCATAACCATGCAAACCCACTCGACAACCTCGATGTCATTTATCATCTCAAATTGACGTGCCGGTAAACCATACATGCTCCATCAATAATGATAATTTTTGAGTTGTTCCATCATATCAACTTTATAGTCCTAAACTAGAGTGTCATTAGCCATGCATGCTCCACTAATGACTAATAAAGAATGATGTGGGTTTGCATGGATTAGCATACATTTCACATTTTTCCTAAACTAGTTAGAGTGAGATTTTAAAAGAAGGTTATAGTACTTTATATCATTATACTTTTAATAAGATTATGTCCTGTCGAACCCATTCAGCTAACGACCCTCCACCACACAAGGGAGCGGTGAGTGAAAAGGACACCCATTTAACGATCATTTTATAGGCCGTTTCCTTATACCACCTTTATAACATAGTTTCGTGAATGAGACCTACTATTGATTTCAATGAACTGTTCTTATATATATATATATATATATATATATATATATATATATATATATATATATATATATAGGTTTAGGTTCATTTGAGACCATACTAATTTTGTGAGACCGTGAGACCAAATCTAAAAATAATTTTAAAATGCAAAATAAATGGAAATATCCAAAAATTCTTTTTTTAAATATTATTTTCAGAATTTCAATTAACTAAAAAAATAAATAAATAAATAAATAATAAATAAAAAAAATCCCGTTTTTTTTTTTGAAAAATACGTGAAATATTCTAAATAGAATATTACATTGACATATTCTAAAAAATAATTTTAAAATACAAAATAAATGGAAAAATCTAAAAATTCTTTTTTTAAATATTATTTTCGGAACTTGAATTAACTAAAAAAAATAAAAAAAACAAATCCTATTTTTTTGAAAAATACGTGAAATATTCTAAATAGAATATTACACTGTACATATTCTAAAAATAATTTTAAAATGCAAAATAAATGGAAAAATAAAAAAATTCTTTGTTTAAATATTATTTTCGGAACTTGAATTAACTAAAAAAAATTAAAAAAAATTTAAAAAAAAAATAAAAAGAAATTAAAAAATACGTCTCACAGTCTCACAAAATTAAGTCGTCTCACATATATATATATATATATATATATATATGTGTGTGTGTGTGTGTGGGGGGGGGGGGGGGGTCAAATAAGTTTTTTTTTAGGAAGGGGAGAAGAAATATAGACCACCAAACTAAATAAATGCATTTAATGTCTAATTCAAATGATACAATAATACAAATAAGAAAAAACAAAGACACATTAAATTATAAAAGACACATTAATTTGGGAATTTAATATGCTCCTTAGTTACAAAAAAAATAGGTGCTTGTGGTTTTTTTAGCAAAAAAACTAAGAAGACTGATTTGTTTTTGTAAACGTTGAAGTGATTCAATTTTTTTATAGTTTGGATCATCATGATTCAGTTCTTATATGGATTATTAATAAAAAAAAATCATTTCATTTTTATATGAATAGGTTTGGATCATTTATTAAATTCATTAGTACAGTATGGATCATGATTCAGTTCTTATATGATTCCGTCTTCTTATATTAATCATGAATAAAAATACCGATTCATTTTTGTACAATTTGAACTCATTCAATTTTTTACAGTTTGGATTATGATTCAGTTCTTATATGATTCATTAATAAAAAATATATTTTATTTTTGTATGGTTTAAATCATGATTCCTTTTCTTAAAAGCTTTGTGGTTTATAAAATCCTGACTTAGTTTTATCTAGTTTGAATCATGCTTCATTTATTATATAATTTTATAAATATGATTCAAAATATAAATGAATCAATAATAATTATGAAGAAATAGTTACCGTCCGTATGGATGTACATTATTTAATTTACAAAAAATTAATTATAGTTGTAATAAATTAGTTATTATACTTTCATCCAAATTTAATCATAGTCCTTTTCACATTAAAATACCTTCTTAGTTTTTTTGCTAAAAAACAAAGAGAATAAAAAAAAACAACCAATTTTTTTTAACCGATGGACATATTAAATTCCCAATTTAATGTGTCTTTTTAATTTAAATTGACAATTTATATAACTCCCATCAATTTAAAATCACTAATATTCATTCTCACATTCTCAATATTTTTTCATTTCTTTTATATATATATATATATATATATATATATATATATATATA